AGCAGGACGAGCTGGCATTTGTAGAAAAGAGCTGTCATTGGAGGAATCTAGTAGGAGTTGCAAACTTTGCTAATTAAGAAAAATTAAAATGCGGGGGAGGGGGGGGCTTTTGAAACAATAAAAACAAGGTTCATTTTGATGGCTTCCGTTTCCAGCCATATTTGATTTGTTTAATCTTGCTTTTTCCTGGCTCTTGAGCAAAGTTACAGCTATCGTAAAGAGAATGCGTTACACACCATCCCCCGCGTGGTGACTACTAGAAGAGTTTCTCCGGTTCTTGTACACTGGCAGCGTTGATCCATGACCGTTTGACATTAAAGGTGTCTATTTTTGAAGTCCTCATTTCCTGTCATCTGTCTCTTATTTCCCTAGTTGGCGCACAACAGGTGAAGATAATTATATCTTGTGCGCCACCCCTTCGCTCCTTTCATTCCAAAGTGCTCCATGATCTAAAGATACACACGCTGCATTGGGGGAGGGAGAGGAGAATGGAGGATACACACATGCTCCGCCTACAACCAAGCTCCACCACTGCATTGGGGGAGGGAGGGGAGAATGGAGGATACGCTCATGCTCCGCCTACAACCAAGCTCCACCCACTTGGAGTCTCATTTTTGGTCGCACGTGTGGCATATCGTGAAATATTACGTGCAGTATTCTGAAGTCCACACAGCCATTGCTCTTCTTCCTTGTGCCTAATTACAATGTGAAGAGCTTCCCTGGGCACCAGTGTTAACACCCCTCAAAGGGATAACGGCGAGCCACACCGTTGGGCTACTGTTGCAGACTCTCTGCAGACACAGGCAGGCAGCCCTGCTCTGTTTGCATTTTCAAGGTTCTCTTAGCAAATACAAGGGCCAAACACTTATTTTGTTTGTTTAAAATGAAAGTTGAGAGTCTTAGGGTATGTCTACACTGTAACACTATTTTGCAATAACTAGCGCTGTTCTGAAAGAACTTAGTCCGCGTCTACACAGCGGGCAGATATTTCACAATAGTGTCAAAATACTGTCAAGCTGGAGGATTTCTTACTCAGACTCCTGTAACCCTCATTGTACGAGGAGTAAGGGAAGTGAGGGGAGGAGTGCTCTGTTTCGAAAGAAGTGCTGCCTAGAGGTTCCTCCTTTCGAAAGAAGCTATTTCGGAATCAGATACGCAATTGACGTAGCTCAATTTGCGTCGCTTATTTCGAATGAAGCGCTGCAGTGTAGTCGCGCCCTTTAATTCAGACTTTTCATCATGGCGCCTACGTTGTGTGAGCTCTGAGCCAGGGTGACCCAGTCCAGTTAGGTCCTGCAGCTGTGGAATTTACTTCACCCATCATTAAAATGCAGCCACCTCTGGGGTAGAACACAGCAGCTGTTTAACGGCACACAGCAAAGCTGCCCCACGGCCAGGAACCAAAAAACAGCATCTAAGTGAAGTGCCTGGGGCAGTTTTAGGGAGGCAGAATAGCATTCGAATTTGGGCCAGGATTCAGCAGCTAACGAACCTGTAATTGGGGAAACTGCCAATGGCTCTTTGAGTGACCCCAAGTAACCAGGTCCTCCATACCCACTGAATCTGGTCCCGGCTCTTGTCTCTTTGCACTTCTCCAGTGGCATACAGAGCTACCCTGTGCTGGCCTTGGCACATGGGCCTGGCAGGGGAGGAATGCCACAAATTCTGGTCCAGTCAGTGTCCCTTAACACCACGCTGGGCCATTGGCTCTGTATAAAGAGGGAGCCACTGGACCTCCACTGCTGCTGTCTGCAACCCCCAGCTTTTCCCTCAGTGAACTCTCGTCCGAGTACGATCCAATCCCAGGCCTGCTTCTCTAAACCTCTCCCTGCCTGAGACATACAAACAAACTACAGGGCAGTCAAGTTTCCGGATTACAACAATGATTAGGCGTACGGAACAGCTGTCATAGGAGGGGAGATTAGATTACTGTACAACAATGATTAGGTGTACGGAACAGCTGTCATAGGAGGGGAGATTAGTAAGGCTGGGATTTTTCAGCTTGGAAAACGAGTGACTAGAGGGATATGATAGAGGTCTATAAAATCATGACCGGTGTGGAGAAAGTAAATAAAAGTTATTTACTCCTTCCTGTAACACAGGAATGAGGGGTCACCAAATGATATTGATAGGTAGCAAGTTTAAAATCAACACGAGGAAGTATTTCTTCATGCAACGAACCATCAACCTGCGGAACTCCTTGCTAGAGGATGTTGTGAAGACCAAAACTTTAACAGGATTTAAAAAAAAAAAAACAACCTAGATAAATTCATGGAGGATATGTCCATCACTGGCTATTAGCCAGGATGGGTGGAGACAGTGTCCTATCCTCTGTCAGAGGCTAGGAACAGGTGACAGGGGACTAGAATGCGTGACTAGATAAATTCAGGAAGGATAGGTCCATCAATGGCTATTGGCCAGGATAGGCAGGGAGGGTGTCCCTCTGTCAGAAGTTGGGAATGGGTGATGGGAGGGATCATGTGATGTTGCCCTGTTCTGTTCAGTCCCTCTGGGGCACCTGGCATTGGCCACTGTCGGCAGACAGGATACTGGGCAAGATGGACCTCTTATGTGCGGAGGACACGAAGTACTCGCCCACCAGTGCCCAGTGTCTTGCTCGGGCTGGTTATGTCTGTATTGAGCCATTTTGTGATACACTTAGATATAGCACTGGGGTCAATTCTCTCCCAACTGCGACCTCATCGTCGGTTTGTTACTTTACCAGCAGATGTCACTCTCTGATAAGCAGCAGCACTGTTGGGAGGGCGTGTCCTTTGATTTCCGTGAGTTTTTGGTCAGCGTTCCAAAACACACTCCAGAATATAGTATGGCTGCCAATTATCCACCAGCTTAGGGCGGATCCTCAGCCAGGACAGGCAGAGGGGTGACATCAGGGGATAGCACCTCTCCCGGTCATATCTTAATTGCACCTTTTGCATTTACACAGCATCCTTCATCCAGAGCATGGATTTTTAAGCCTCCCCCCCCCCCCACACACACACACCTGCCAATTTCACTCCCATGCCATACAGAAGCAAAAGTCAAGACACAGAGGTGAAATGGCAGGCTTCAAGCCCGCCAGGGAGATCATGGCTTTGTTGAGTACCGAAGAGAGGAATTGTGACCCTGAGATACTATGTGGCTCCCACAGCAGGTACTAGAATCCTGGTCCTCTGATCTACCCACTAGACCACACTGTTCCACACACAACACAATGCCAGGAGCCCTAGTGACACATTTGCTTGCTGTACTAAGCATTCTCTCCCTCTCTCAAATGCAGCAAAAGCTTTTGAAATTATGATGCGCCTGCTGCATCCAAATACGGCATGCGGTTGAAAGACCAAAAAAATCCAACAGGTTCTCCGTGCGCCAAAGACACCCCCATCTCACTAGGCAAACAAAAGGGGGAATGCAACAGAAGCAAGCAAGCCACCCTGGCTACATGGCTCCCCTCCAGCCTGCGAAGGAGTTCCACTGCGCTTAGAAGATCACGTGGGACAAAAAAAAGGACATTGGGGGCAAGGGCCAACAAACGCTAGGCAGCCTCCGTTTTGAGGTGCCCTACGTGAGACGCAGGAACATAGGCACCGACCGACTGGATTGCACCCATCATCTGCCTAATCCAGCCTCGTGATTCCAACTCTCATCAGCAACGGATGCTTTAGAGAACCCTGCAGCTGAATAATCTGCTCCCCGCCCCTTTACTTCAATTCCCCCCGATCTCTAAAAATTAGAGATGGTCTTAAACCCGGAATCATGGAGTTTCACATCCCTTCTGGAATTTCCATTAGCATTAGCTATTATACGGCTTCCAAAAGGGTAATTTTCAGAGGTACTCACCAGTGTTCCCTCTAATTGTTTTTCCACCTGTGTGTGGAATAAATTTTGTTATGTGCACCAAGGCAGGGGCAGATGTGCACCACAGCAGAACCATGCTGCACCACAATAGAAACATGGGCGCTCTGCTAATCAGTTGGGTGGCATTTCAGTCTCTCCTGGGGGGCCGCCAAAGCACTCAGCTTAGAGGGAACACTGGTGTTCACGATTTCCAGCTCCTATAGACTTCAGATGCAATGTACTTGGTTGCGAACATGGAGGCCAAGGTGCTCCATTTGGACACATACAGGCTCCCCTGATTTCATACAGCCTGCAACCAATGCTGCAGAGTGTGCTATTAACTAGATGCAGGCCCCAAGAGCCAAAATTCAGACCCAGATGGTCCCAAATGTTCAGCAGTACATGGGAAACCAGTAACCATGTGGCATTCGCTAAACAGAATCTATACCCGATAAAACAAAAGGCGGAGGTATTTTTCTGTGAGCTACTGAAAAATTAAACACCTGTCTCTTTGCTCCGTGTTCTGCGAGGGAAGGTCACCGCGCATTTCAGCACAGACGTAAATAGCACCATGAAATGGGGTACTTACCACTGGCACACGGCTCCTCCCGGTTGGAGGTGGCTTAGGCGGTTCTTCTCCAGCATCTGCCCCTTCTTGTGACTCTGCCTTCTAGCCGGGCTGTGCCGGGTACCAGCAAGCCCAACACACCCACAATTCCAAGACCTCGCCAGGTCTTCAGGCGCTGATTCTGGGCCCAGGAGTCCTTACACCCTTCTCAGCAG